GTCTTTTAACAGAAGGAAACCCTTCTGAGAAAGCATAAGAAAGTGATGACCTCTCACAATAGTCAGACATAAGGATTGGGCAGATCAGGGAAAGATCAAAGCTTCAGTTGAGCTGAAATTTAAAGGAAAGAGCAACTCCAGGGAATCTGGTGAAAGCACTTCTAGATGGAACACAGGTATCATGACAGGGGGTGGAGGGGATGAGGGCTGTATCATGGAAACCAAGGACAGTTCCATGGGCGAGACTTGCAGGACTTCTCAGTGCATTCACGAGCCACTTTGGAAAGGAGCTGGCTCGTCCTTGCAGGGGCTGTTGCACACATTAATGAAGTCTAGGGTCCCTCATCCTCTCTGCTAAATACCAGTCATCTCCTCAATCATCATTCAAACCCAAAACACTTCCAGCATCTCCAGATCTCCCATTAGAGGGCAATAAAAGGAATGCTGGGTGGGTTTTGGCTCCCAATGTGTACTGTACGCAAACGCTGGACTTGCCATCTAGGTTGTCCCATGCCAAGCTGTCATTTTTGTACACCTAAAATAACTGATGCCAACAATTTCATGCAACTCAAAATAATACAATAAAAAGAAATCCCGTGACTCAAATGTGTAATCATATGAGCTTAACTCGTGCATGTGGGAAGAAGCTGAGCAGCACATGGTGCTCATCAAATGACAGCTCCATCACTGAGAACCCAGATTTCAGACACTCAGAGATATCAGGGGGGTCAGGGGAGAGCTCTGCATGGAAGGTGGGCTGCAGGCAAACCTGAAACAGGGCAGGATCCAGAGAGGTGGAGAGAAAGACAACATGCACTGCAGGACAGTGCGAGGGGCAGTGGTGGGGTCAGACCTGGGACAAGTGTAACCTCCTTCTCTTAACAGAGATGGTGTTTGCTGTCCCTCCACAGGTTGACCTTTGTAACTATGTCTCAGTCAACGGAGCCACCGCTCATCCCCACGTAGAAAATGATGGAACTGTGTATAATATTGGTAATTGCTTTGGGAAAAACTTTTCCATTGCCTACAATATCATCAAGATCCCTCCACTACAAGCAGGTGAGCACACCCGTCACTCCTCTGCAGAAAACACACATAAAGCATGCAAGTAATGGAAAGTTGCTGAAAACGCAAGCTGCCAAACAACAGCACTATGTAGGTAGCTAAATTATTCCCGCACTGTAACAAGTGGTCTCGCTCTTATCTGCCAGAAGCCAGCGCCCCACAGATGATCACTTGAAAATGCAGAAAGGAAGCAGGCAAATTCAATGCTATGATGTTTCATTCTTTAGTGTAGATGTGGATTTGATCACATACAGCTCACATGCAAATCCAACAAATACTGACTGAGCGCTTATGCACGTACCAAGCAGAGCTGTCATGCCAAGCCAACCTGCATACCAGCGTACATGTATGTACATACAAAATTGTGCCACATTGAATATAATTTCCAAAACAACAATGTCTATAAACAAATCCAGAAACAGTAGTAAAACAGAAGGGACAGTGCTCAGGAATTCTACACTCGTCTTACATTCATTACTAGGCATGCCTTTGACAGCCATTTTAATGGTGGGGTCATTCGGTTGCATATGGATCTTTGGTAACGTCTGCTGGTGCTCCTGGAGGCTAGCACCTAGAGGAGTTGCACTGCTGGGAAACCTGCTAAAGGGGAATGATGTTCCCACCTCAAGCGGACTGAACAGCACAGCCTGGGAACAGGTGCTGTGATCAGTATTCTAGAAAGTTCTTCATCTGCTCTTCTCAGGCACATCAAGCTTTGAGGACCACTGACTCAGCAGTGAATGTGCTTCAGTGTCCTTAAGGATTGTTGTAGAATGCAGTGGACCTAAACCTCCCTCTCCCGTGCTTCGGGGCATCTTAGCAGCTCGCAAAAGGCACCTGACTGCACTAAAGTCTTGCCTTATTCTTGACTTAAAACACCTCTCCGTCTGTTGCAAGATGCTGCCCTAATATTCCATCACACACTTGCTCAAGTGTGCTTTTCCAAATCTGCTACTATTTGGATTTTCCAAGGTGATTACAGTTTTGCATGACATTTCACTAAGATATGCCAATGGCTGAGAAAACAAAAATGCAAACTGAAAATACAGATATCTGGAAATGTAATTCTTTACACTTGCACTTAAAAAGTGAGGCTGGGGAGATAGCTTGGTGGTCTAAGTGCCTTCATGGCAAATGCAAGGACTCAGGTTGGATCCCCAATGCCATATGCCATGCCAGCCCTATGCCAAGCCAGCCACTGAAACTGGGCATGGTGGCACATGGCTATAATCCCAGTGCTGGGGAGGCTGAGACAGGAGGATCACTAGGAGTCTGAGCTGAGTAGTGAGACCCTGTACCAAAGAAGGAAGCAACGAAAGAAGGAAAGATTGTTTTAAAAAGTGCGGGGCTCTTCCAAAGCCCTTTTAAGCCAATCTGTTTCAGACAAGGAAGACCCAATCAGCAAGTCAGAGATTGTCGTGCAATTCCCCTGCAGTGACCGATTCAAGCCATCTTATGTCCATAGGTAAGTGGAAGGCCTGCTGTGAATCATCTGCAAAACCAGAGTTCAAAGATCTGCTTTGCCTACCTTTGATACCAACCCAGATCACAACACTTGCTTACTGAAATCCAAATTTAAACATGATTTCCTGTAGGCACTGCTGATTCATGAAACTAAGCCTGCCTTTATGTATTCGTATTTCTTTGTCATTGAAGAATCATCGCCCCGTCTCTTCACAAGCCCCTTTGTGTTTCTGAACAGCTTTGGTCTGACTCCTAACTACATCGTGTTTGTGGAGACGCCAGTCAAAATCAACCTATTCAAGTTCCTGTCTTCATGGAGTCTGTGGGGAACCAACTACATGGACTGCTTCGAGTCCAATGAAGCCATGGGGGTAAACCGGATGGATCTGGCCAGCTTATGTCCTTGCAGGTATGTCTCTCAACATATAGTGCTTCCCCTTGTAAATGCATGACCACATTTTATTTTTCAAGGTTTGGATTCACGTTGCTGACAAACAACAGAGAAAGTACCTCTGCAATAAATACAGGACCTCTCCTTTCAATCTCTTCCACCACATCAACACCTACGAAGACCACGAGTTTCTGATTGTAGACCTCTGCTGCTGGAAAGGGTAAGGATGGGCTTCCTGCAAGCGGGAGGGCCATTTTAGAGATGCTGCCCTCAATGCGTAAGTGAGCTGCTTCTAAAAACACAAGAGTCAAGAGAGATAACTGGAAAAGCAGCAGGGATCTGGGTCATCAGGACAAACTGAGCATCCAGGCTCTGGCGAAGGACTGAAAACCAACTGGGTCTGTGAACCAGACTTGAAAATGAAGGATTCAAAGGGCCGGCCAGATAGCTCAGTGGACTCAAGCGCCTGCCTAGGCAGTCGATCCCTGGCCTGCCAAGCCGGCCCCGCCCCCAGGGCTCGCTGAGAGGGCAATTGAGACGCACACCTATAATCCCAGCGCTTGGGAGGCTGAAAACAGGAAAATCACTGAGTCCGATCTGTGTAGTGAGACCCTGTAGACCGTGTCCTAAATACGGGGGGAAAAAATAGCTTCTACAGACACATAGTGGGGACAGAAGAGCAGCTTTGGTCTGACTAAGGCTGCTGCTGTTCAAACACATCCATGAGGCTGGCTGTTTAATTTTTTGCCCAAGCTGAGCTATGGGCAGTAACGCTTGTACACCTGTGCTTTAGCAGGCTACCTCGTGGAATAAAGAACACGTGATTTTAAAAAGCCATGAATCACCTCCCTAACACTCTGTGTAATTGTGTTCCCGCTTGGTCTCCTGTTTTTTGCAGATTTGAATTTGTTTATAATTACTTGTATTTAGCCAACTTACGCGAGAACTGGGAAGAGGTGAAGAAAAATGCCAGCAAAGCTCCCCAGCCTGAAGTGAGGAGATACGTGCTTCCTCTGCGCATTGATAAGGTACCTGCTTGCTCAGCAGATTGCAGACGTGGCCAGCGTTCGTTCCCTCAGGGCAACTGTGCTCCTGCTTCATGTTTTTATGTAAAAGTCACAGAACTTCGGAGTCAGAGGGAACATTAAAAATAAATGAATTAAACTTCTCTCATTTTACAAATGAGGAAGCTAAAGTTCAGAAAAATGATGTAACTTAGCAAAAGCGAACTGCAGCTGGGCCAGGATGAGAACCAGGCTTCATAATTCTAATCCACCACTCTCTCGGTTACAAAATCCTTTCAAAAATCCCTCTCTCCCTCAGTAATGCAGCTGCACTGGTGCCTGGGACCTTTTGACAATAATGTAAAAATTTAATAAATAATTTGAACTTCTAAAGAAACAAATTGGCAAAAAGTAGCCTTGTTGGGAAGTCAGGCTATTCTTTTTTTTTTTTTTTAATTTATATATTTGGTACAGAGTCTTGCTATGCAGCTCAGACTCATAGCGATCCTCCTGTTTCGGCCTTGCCAGCACTAGGATTGCCGGCGTGTACCACCACGCCCAATTTTGACGGCTGACTCTGCAGGCCCAGGGTGGGCCAGCTCAGCCTGCAGTATAGGGATGAAGCCCAGGTCCTTCCACTTGCCAGGCAGGCGCTTAGACCACTGAGCTATATCTCTGGCCTATTTTAGTTTTCTATCAATCTGAAAGTATCCTAGAGGGCAGAAAGCATGAATAGCATTTGACAGCTGTAGGAAAGTCAGAATTTCTCTCTGAAGGTGACTGAAATTCCCAGAAGTCTAGTAAGAGGAAAAGCACACACCTTTATTGATACGTGCACGTACACGAGAGCCCTGTACAGCATGATACTCGAAGGGAAACCCAATGGATGAGAGCTAACTAGTCCTTGGGGTATGGGTTGGTCCCATGGGTGCTGGGAGAGGGGAAGCGAATTTGGGGAAGATGAATGAGGCTGAAGAATGGACAAGGGCCTGCGAGACGTTCCGGGCTCAGGGTCTCCGGCTGCGCCGCTGGAGTTTCTGGCTTCATCTGAGCTAGAAGTGACATCTTCCCTGGGAAGTGGAGTTGTCATGAAAAGAGTGACGCGCTGGGTCTCTCTTTGGTGAATCTGGTCCTGAAGTAATCAGACAACTTGGGAAAGCCCTTCTTGGTATGGGCTTGCTCCCAGAGCTCTTGGTCTGAACTCCAAAGTGGCTTGTTTTGGGGTTTTGTTCTTCCTGCACCAACACAGTTGTCTCTTTATCCGTACCTTTTCTTTCCTGTGTACAGTGACTATTCTTTTATAACAATAAGCGTGCCCAGTGTGACAGAAATGCCAGCAAAAACAAAAAAAAAATCCAATTTTCACAAATACATATATGTGAACTTTGTATGTCTTTTTGCTTGGAGTTATCAAACTTCAGAGGGAAGGTCTGGCAACTCCGAGGTCCCTATCACGGTCTTATGCTACCAATGCATTTGGTGCTCTAGTGGTGTGTTCAGCTCCGTAGCAAACCAACACGACACCATCCGTTAGATCTAACTAACTGTACAAAAGCAGCAGAGGCAGTTGCCTGGAGCACATGACGTGGAAGCAAAGGTTTCGCTCAAATGTAGTGGATAATGAAGCCAATTTAGAACTAGTTACAGCTCTTAAGCAAGCTTGTGAGTGCCACGAAGAATGGGAAAGGGGAGAGGGTGAGGCCAGGTTCTACCCAAAGGCATAAACTTTGCAAAGGTGAGCCAAAGTTTATAAAACAAGATCTAATACAGAAATGCAAGTAGTCTTTGAGAGGGGTTCATTAGGAGCTTTGAAGAGATGGGGCTCAGGCAGAGAGACCGGAAAAATCAGTTGGAGAGATTTTGCAAGGGCGCTGTGAGCCTTTAGGTGGATGTAAATGACAAAGAGCTGTTGGGGTGTTCCACATGTGTGCTGTATGTGTGACAGACTCAGCTCCATGTTTCTGAAAGTTCACCAGGGTCACACCCTGGACAGCAGGGGAGGGGGAGGGGCGAGGCACCCTAGGATAGCACAAGTGCAGTGAGCACGAAACAGAAGCCTAAATACACCAAGACGGCAATCGAGAGATAAAGGAAGGTGCATGGCTGAGGGAACCGGAGCTGGTGTCTCTTCAAAGGTGGAGGAGTGCTGAGCGGCTTCCTCATTGCGCTCCCAGCAGTGAAGTAGAGGCAGGAGGGGCTGGGACACACATCAACTTAATTCGGTACCTAGGATCCAATGTCCACACTGCAAAGGAAAACTACCCACATGGCAATAAGTAGGGTCACGCTTTGTATAGATCCTCATTTCTTCCCTTCTTTCTTACTTTAGCAAATTCCTCTGTCAAAACCGTAACCCTAGTTAAGCTCAACCATCCACCCACCCTGTGTTTATAGCTCCAATTCCAAATGTTAGCGCCACGAACACACCACCACACTGAGCCTCCCAATTTTAAATGTATGACCACAAAGCTCACTGCCACATTTCCCACATGTACTCACTGCCTCGCTTCACGAGTTAAACATTCTCCATCTTCCTGTCTTCAAGCTTTTACCACCTCCCACCTCCCTCCTCCACTCTCAGATGCCAACCATGACTCTGCTTCCTATTCCTCTGCAACAAATGAAGCAAACCAGCAAGAACCACAGATTTCTGCCGCCCGCCACGGCTGCCACCCACCAGCATCTGCACTCCGGTACTGAGTGATCCATCTTCCTATCAGAGTCCATCACACCCAGCTTCCCCTCTCCCGCACCTCCCTTCCCTACCTTTCTCAGCAGCTCGCTTACACCAGAATCTTGCAGAATCCTGCCTTTGTGGCCCCATTCAGCTACCCGCTCTGGGTGGAGGGCACCGGAATACAGTCCTTACTTCCTGTCATCCATTTATGTAATTACTCATCCCCTTTCCAAGACTAAGGTTTTATAGGGGCCTGTATTTAATTCCTCACTGTTCCTTCAGCTCAAGTCTTTTTTTTTGAACCAAGGATTGAACTCACAGCTCAAGTCATTGAAACCTGCTGCCAACCCTGCATCTCCACCAGAAAGCCAGTACACATCTTGAGTGTAATAAGAGAAGACCTGAATTTCTCATCTTTCCCCACCCAAAACCTTATCCCACCTATAGTAATCCTTATCTTTATGGTGACAGTACCAACATTTGAGGGGGTATTTGTGGTGCTAGGCCTGTAACCAGGGCCTCACAACACTAGGAAGTGCCTACCCCTAAGGTACACCCCAGTCCAACACCGGCTGTTCAGTATTCAGGCCAAACCCTACAGCTCTATGGGCAAGGTCTCTTCCCCCTGATCCTGCCCATCAGGAAGTCCCTTTATGTTCCCTCTCATGGATTTCTGACTCCAACGCCTCCGGCCTGGCCAACAGTTTTCTTTGGATTCGCTCGATCACTGTAGGACAAGCTGGTTCTTCTGACTCCGCTTTTACAGCCTCCCTAGCCCAAGAGAAGATTCGGCACAGCAGCTACGCTTTACTCTGGTTAACAGAGTGGTTCTTCTCAAGATGAGAGTGCTGCCCCCTCTGGTCCAAGCTCTCCCATGGCTTCTGGAAGCACAGGTCCTCGCTCTGAGCCAGGTGCCTGCAGAGCCTGGCCCAGGGGCTCTCTTGGCCTCTCCCTCTCTGCTCCCCTGTGCTCACTGGCCACACACAGGTCTCTCTGATGCTTCTCCAGCACACTGAGTGTCCTCCTTTCTCACGCCTTGCACTCTTTGGCCTCTATTTGAGGGCCTTAATTAGCTTCCCCCTCTGAAGGCTTCCCTCAAATGCAATTTGACAATCAGCTTGACACCAACCACCTGATAAAATTTCAACCCACCGACCCTTCACTTGGCTGATCCCCTATCCTCTACTTGACTTTTCTCCCCACATTCATGGTATACCACACGCTGTATCACATGTGTGTGTGTGTGTGTGTGTGTGTGTGTGTGGTACCAGGGGTTGAATCCAAGTTCTCCTCACTAAGCTACACCTTCAGCCCTTCTTAATTTTTAGCTAGAGACAGAGCCTTGCTACATCTCTGCATTTCCCAAGCCAGGCTTGAACGTGCAGTCCTCCCGCTTTCGCCTCCCAGAGTGCTGGGATCTCAGGGGTGCCGCTATGGCCTGTTCGGTGTGTTGTTGTTAACCTTCCCTCAGTGGAATGCAAGCTTCACAAGGACAGACGGGAGCTGTGCCCTCTGAAATAGTCCAAATAGCTAGGATACAGTCCATTCAGGATATTTAGAGTCCATTTATAAGTTATAATCAAGTATTTGATAAAAATTATTAATAGATACTATATGTTCTTTGAAAAAGATCATGACATCCAACTGTTTTTATAGAATAATCTGGAAAGTTGTGTGTCTATGTGCATAGGCATGCCTACGCATGTGTGAGAAAAGAGGCCTTTAAAAGCATCTGATCCAATTGTTTTTCTGTATATATATTTTTTTCTTTTTGACATTGTAACGACATCACCTTTTTAAAACAAAAACTAACAGAACCAAAATATCTCTTAACCACGTAGGCTATAAACCCTCCTTTACCCCTCAGGCAGTTGAAACGTTCCTCTGCAGAAAGTATTTATCTGTACTTTTACCTATTAATTATCTGTCTTTTCCAAAGGTCCTTCCCTAGAGCACTCACTTCCCTTTGAGGGCAGTCTTGGCTTGCAGATGAGCACAGCTCGGGCCTGGGCGACTTCCCAGAGCATGAGTCACGACCAGCACACTCCCACGCACCCGGGTGCCCAGAACCGCGCGCAGTCTCCTGGAATCTCCCTTCCTGCACACGGACCAAAGGCAGAAGGGGGGAAGACCCGGCCTGGGAGGCCGGGAGGCCGGCCGGTCGCTCACTGAGACTTCCATCGCCCTCTCCCGCAGGCAGACACGGGCAAGAACCTCGTCACTCTCCCCAACACAACCGCCACCGCCGTCCTGCGCAGCGACGAGACCATCTGGCTGGAGCCCGAGGTCCTCTTCTCGGGGCCTCGCCAAGGTACGATGATCTGATCGGAGGAAGCCCTGGGGCTCCCCCGCGACTCCCAGAGGTTAACTGAGTTTTCCTGCATGCTCTAATTTGCAGCGTTTGAGTTTCCTCAAATCAATTACCGGAAGTACGGCGGGAAGCCTTACACGTTCGCCTACGGACTCGGCTTGAATAATTTTGTTCCAGACAGGGTAATCCACCCTCTAGATATGCTGCGACTGGGCTTTGCTTCGTAGGGGAGTTAAGAAGGTCTGGTGCTGACTGACGGATCCATTGCTTCTCCTCTTACAACCAGCTCTGTAAACTGAACGTCAAAACTAAAGAAACCTGGGTGTGGCAGGAGCCGGAGACCTACCCGTCAGAGCCCATCTTCGTCTCCCACCCAGAGGCCTTAGAAGAAGACGACGGTAATAGTCACCCCGATCGTGTTGGCACAGTCTTCCTGCTGGAATCCTGTGCGCTCCTGAAGGGAGGTGTCAGGTGGATTATTCCCCAATTCTAAAGGAGAAAAACAAAAACCCACAATTCTATAAATGGATGGCACTAGAGAATTTAGGCTTACTTTGGTCTCATCCTGGGATGAGATCGCCTTAATTTCCAGTGGGAAAAGTTCTAAGGCACCATCTGGTGCCAGGAGCCGGCCTCGGAGTCTGCTCCGGGAGGAGGAGGGGGAGGGGAGGGGGAGGGGAGGGGGAGGGGAGGGGGAGGAGGAGGGAGAGATCCGGCAGCAGCAAGGCTACGTGTTCCTTCCCTGGTCAGGATGTATTTCTGAAAAAGGGTAGAGTTCTGAGAAAAGAAACAGGGGTCTAGAAGATAGAGCAGGAGACAGCTCTGTGGCTCTAGTTCTGGTCCATTCATTTAGTAATTGAGCCTAGAAAAGGGTCCTAGTCTATAATACAGCAGCTCAGTGACCGAGCATCCGTCCTAGCTCTTCTTTAACTAGCTGAGCAGGGTGGCAGATTGCACTCTCTGAAATAAAAGATGGGCAACCACAGAGAAGTGAGACGGGCGATGGTGGCGCCATTTCACGCATACTCTTCACCCAGCAAAAGTGCAGAAGGTTCGTCCCCCTTTCTTTGGTTTTTGGAAAGAAGTCTACTTTCAGGTAGATCTTGGAAATTATAGGTACCTGAGCCTCAGGGCTTTCAAACTCTTTTAATATTCATTTTCACTCGCTCATCACAAGTTTGCTTTTGCAGTAGGAGGAGCAAATGTCCCATTCCTGTGATGTACAATGATACAGATCTGGCATTTGATAAGTCTTTAATGAGCGCCTTCTGTGCTCTAGTGGTGGAGACTACAGTTCTGGGTTCTAAAATGTAGAGTGAGGAAAACAGAGAGGGTCACCCTTCCCTGAAGCCTGTACCCCAGGAGGAAGACTCTGAAAGGCCTTTCAGGTAGTCACAGGGCTGGGGGTAGAGAAGTCAGAACAAGAAGCCAAGTCATGCGGTCTCCTTCACTTGCCCTTGTAACCACCCTCTGTCATTTCAGTCTCATTTAATCTGTGGGCAAGAGAGCATTTACATGTACACCTGCTGTATTTCCTTGTGATATGCAGGTGTGGTTCTGAGTGTGGTGGTGAGCCCTGGGCCAGGACAAAAGCCAGCTTCGCTCCTGATTCTGAATGCCAAGGACCTGAGTGAGGTGGCCAGGGCCGAAGTGGACGTTAACATCCCTGTCACCTTCCATGGACTGTTCAAAAGAGCCTGAGTATTTTCATGCAGGATACATTTCTGGTGAAAAGGAAAACATGAAAACCAGCTGTAAA